TAGCACATTACTGAATAATAATGTAATACATTTATATATATTTAATAACAATCAAACACCTTCAAATATTGACCTCTAAAAATGTATTGAGACTTTAAGAATTTATTTTAATTTTTTTTAGAATGAAATCCGAAACATCTTCAATAAATAAACTAGGGAAGTCGCTGTGTTAAAAAGTAGGTAGGTATACAATTAAATTACTTAAAAGAAACTAGGTACCAAAAACCATTCTCAATATTGAAGATCAAATCATTTTTTCTATTTTAAAAATCGTTTTCAGTTCTACACACATATTAAAATAAAACTAATATACCATTGTATTATCAAACTAACAGGTACATTCATCGCTAAGCTAAGAATCTAAATCTAAAATTTATGATGTATACCTATGATTTAGTCAACTCAATTCGATAACAATATTGTCATAGAGCTTAAAATAGATTACGCAATAATAACATTGTAACGTTCAGTGTAAGTTGGACTCATTCTTTTGTACCAATATTATATTATTGGTATAATATATATGTATGACTTATGTACTTATGTTTTGCCATGTATACAATAACCGTTCTTGCCACTCTCCAATGTGCGAAAATTCCTCGGCATCACCACCCAATACCCACACAATCAGAGTACCAAACTATCAACTCCCTTTGCCCGTAATCATAAACCTAATATTATTTAAATTATTAAATATGATTTAAAATACCGACCACGAACCAATTTCTTTAACGGACGACGATCGGCTTGCCGAAGTACTAGCACCTGGACAACAAATTATCATATTAATGTTATATTTTATTTCCATCATCATAGCATAGCTACCAACTAAAGCCTTCAATGGCGATGGTGGAAAGAACGATGAAATGAGAGACCATCAAATATCGACGGATGTCTGGTCCCTTGATGTAATATATTCTTTAATGTAAGTATAATAATTGTAATTTAATTATTATTGTTTTTAAGTATCCGGCCGGTATGAAACATATACTTTAATGCATTATTATTATTTTGTTGACCGGTAACAGTCCAGAGGAGCCATTAGTGTTTTTGGATTAAAAAATTAAACAGGGTCATTTTTTAAGCATAGTATTATTACTCGCCCCCATTATATGTTTGAATTATGCATGTATTCAAATTCTGATTTTTGGGATTTTTATGTGTAGTAAAACCGATACTTTTTAATACTTAGATTGCGTACTACATTTAAGGAGTATTTTGTATTTTTGTGACGATATTAACATTGGTTTTTAAACAGAGAACTTATACGTCCTAAGGCAAATTATAAATCCGATGATTTTTAGGAAAATCTTGACGTATTGTAATCGAAATTTGAACTAAAAGTTTCTGAGGTATCCTAATTAAGTATACAGTATATTAAGTACATTTGTTAATACCACTTAGTCAAATATACTCAGACAATTTTTAATATTATAAAATTCTGATGGAATAATATTGCACCTAATAAATTTAAAACAAAAGTAAATAATATCCTTTTATTCAACTATTATCATTAGAATTTAATTAACAAATAATTTTGTGTTTAAATGTCGATTACAATACATCAGCATTTTCAAAAAAATCATAAACATAAAATCAGGGTGAGCATGAACACGTTGAGTTCCGCGGCGGACACATAGTTCACAACAGCGGCGTTGGCTCTGAGACCTAACATAGGCAGTCTACGGTAGTTTAGAATTGGTACAGGCATCTTTATTATGACTTACCCGGTCATCAGAGCAATGCTTCTATTTTTAATCACTGTTAATCAGTGAAATGTTTACTTTTTGAACGATCTATTTGGATTATGTTTTCGTTTGTTTTTAGCATATTAATGGACACTAACGGTTATTTTTTCCCCGAAAATATTCAATGACGATGACTAAGGTGGATTAAGTTAAGTTTGTTTTTTGTTTTATTGAGTTGAGGCTTCAACATGACAACATCTGTGGTCATTAGCCTGTAGGCTACCACCACGCCATACCAGGCCACTGTTTACGTTTACAGCTAAAGTTACTGTGAACAGTTATTTAGTTATTAATGTTATTATATATATAATTTTCGTCATTATGTTTTTTATTTATATACGAAAATAATACAAGGAATTTACATCATAATATAATTTCGTAATAATTCTTATACATATTATTATTTATTATTGCAACAGCGCTTATTTATTATTGTTTATTAATCATGCAAATACTAAATAACAATAACAAGTAGGTACCTACGTAGAGAAAAACAACCGTATTGCGCTGGAAGACGACGTCAACACGTATAGACCGACATCATCGCGGGAACACTTTTGCTTCGATTCCGGACAACGCGTGTCAAATATTATGAGACACTTAAAAAAATCATTCTGTATTTATGTATATATATATAATGTATACTTTATACTTTTGAAAAAATTACAAATGTCATTGGAAGGTATTTTTGTCTAGCCGTACTATATTATATTTTATTATGTTAATTATTATCATTTTTGTTTCTATTTTTTCTGTCCGAGTTTTTCTCTATTTCGGCTCCAACTTAACTTGTTTTTTTTGTTACTATTTGGTATTATTGCTGTTCTATGTTCCTAAATTAAATCTAAAATCCACGACACACTGGCCTTTCAGGTCCTGACTCCCGGCTCATGGTTGGTGACTTTGTGCAAAGTGACAGGTGACTACATGATCTTTGATCTCGAATTGCGATTTTCGGCAAACTGTCGAATGGTTGCAACATATATTATTTTTATTACTAAATCGATCGCCCAAGAGAAGCGCTAACACTATCATCGCGGCTGTAGGTGGTGTTATAATATTCTGTATGAAAACAATCCAAGCAATTTTATCCGAAATTTTAATGTACTGGTAATCTCGCAGATCTAAATATCTAGTAATAAAACAATAAGATATAACAAATAGGTATTAAACTCTTGTGTCAACAAGTCTGTTTGAGGCAATTAATTGCCTTTGATTATGATTTCATACTTATTTAAATGTTTTTTTTCGTTCTAAAAATTATATTATATAAATAAAGTTATTTATTCATTCATAAAATTTTATTGGAAACATATTTAGTATACAATGTTGCAGTGTTATAAAATTACACACCCAAAATTATGTATTTCTTTTAGTACATTAATTTCATGATCGACATAAAGTTCTATTTTAATACATACATTTATTTTGAAAATAGGCAACTAAATTTGTTTTGGAATTTTAAAATATCGGTTACGGTACCTACTCCATACAATATAATAGTTAATCAGAAGAAACAAATTTTATTTAAAAAAAATACACTAAGCTGACTGCCTATTGGACTGTCCAACAGGTTGCCTATAGCGGTATATACGGCGCACGGTATACTATTCAGAGTTCAGACATTATGGTATTTGTAAATGAGTAATACAGTTCATGGAGTTTAAAGACAAATAAATAAACAGTGAAGTATACAATCAAATATAATATAATTAAATACAATTATTAACAGAGTATAAAATACAGGATATAGCATGGAAACCAGGGACTTAATTCCAATTACATTGTTCATACTAGGTATATACGTTGGGTTACTGGATGACTGATACATATTATTATGCAGAAATACTGTATCGGTAGAATTTTTGGAAACAATACAATTTTAACTATCTTTAAATGTTTTCAAATGATTTTTATTGAATTTAAAGGCAATATATTATGTGAAAAGTGCAAAGTGCACTACGCAAAGTGCTGTAGTTGTCCACTCGAAATAAAACGGGGGGGGGGGGGGGGGGGGGAGAGGGAGATGGCGAACCTATGACACGCGCACACCATGTTAGCGCACGAATGCGTAAAAGTTTGATAACATTAAAGTTTTTTTAAAAAAAATTGAAGGTTTATCGAACTAGTCGACAAGCAGGGAAAACGAAATCAAACCAAAATTTTTATTTGACACGGTGGTATACAGCCATCCCTGCTGTAGTAATTCTGAATACGAAGAAAAAATATTTCAACAATGATAGATACANGGGGGGGCGGCAAGCGAACAACTAAAATATGTCGTTTATCGAGAACACGTCCCGATAACGAGTGCGCAGAGAGTATCTTTAAACAGGGTACAAAAAACACGGCAAAGAGTCGACAGAGGCACAAGGGTACAAATGGCCGTAAAGTGCAAAAAATGGCTCAAAAAAACGTCGGCCAGAGTGAAACAAAACACAAGCGGTGAACAACGCGGGGACGGAAAAACGTCGGGCGTGTGAACTTGCATAATAGCTATTCGGACGAAATGTCCAGTAACAATTAACAAATAAGGAATTAAGATGGACCGGCGTGGATACTACAACCACTGGCCACCGGCCAACTAGCTCTGTGCACGGCCAGCCGATACTCGTAAAGGCGTGTATCCACGTCGGTCCATCTTAATCTCTTATTTGTTACTGGACATTTCTTGCACTTTATGGTCATTTGTGCCCACGTGCCTCTTTCGGCTCTTTGCCGTGTTATGTGTACTTCGTGTTTTATCAAATTTAAATAAAAAATTCTGTTCCTATAAATTATTAAAATAAATAAATTATTATATAAAAATTTCAAGCTTATCCCTAAAATAATTTAAATTTTAAATTTTAAATTAAATTAAAATTTTAAATTAACTAAATATAATGTAACAAATTAAATTTCAAAACTTATATTATTTTATAAATATTTATAACACAGTAAATTAATAATAAAATTAACTCTTCGAATTTTGAGAAATTAAAAGAAAATCGAAAACAGTAATCAATCTCCATACAAAAGGTAGGTACTAAAAATATTATTTTACAATACTATTAAGATATAAATCTATAAATTAGTTTTTGCCAAATACTGAGAAGACTATAAATAAATGAATAACTTTTATAAAACATCAATAAAAAAAAAAACATTAATAATTTTAATTTTAATAAAGTTTAACATCTTATATGAATATGATATATGTATTATACGAATAAAATGTATATGAATTATTTAAAATAAGTAAAATTAATCGCGGATTATCAATTAAAAAACAGGTTCCTCTAATGAGATTAAATCATAATATTTTAGTCAATAGATTAGTTGCCATCGGAAACTCGCTGTCGTTAAATTCGGGGGCACGTGGAACTCGGTGATGGAGACGACAAAGTCGTTGAAATGACTTATAAAAGTCACTTTTGTCGACGTCATGGGTGGTTAAAAAACAAAAATTTAGGAGGTGATAATGATTTTTGATAAGGCTTGGTGGTCTTATCGTTTCGAACGCGGGAATGTTTGAAATTCCAGTTTCAGTGTCTAGAAATCTCACATCACTCATGAAAATCGGCAATTGAATAATACGGTTCTCCGTCGTATGTCCGGTGCTTTTTCGTCTGTAAAAAAAATGTAAATTCAAAATCCGTACTTAAGTGTCTATCAACTCAGTCACCTCAAGTGAAAATCTATTAACATTCAAGTTAGCAAAGTTATAGCTACCTAGGCAAGCAATCTGACTTCGTCGGATCGCAAACAATGCACTACAACTTTTCAGGTACGCAATCCACCTGCGGTGGACAAGTGGATTGCAGACACGCCGTTCAGCGGCTATAAGTGAAACTCAAGTAAATTGATAGTATGTACCTATATTATATACACTCATAATGCATAGAAAATAAAGATCGCACGTAGGTAATTGTATTTTTCACAATCATACGGATAGACAGTAGTATAAGTAAGTAAGTAACGACCACTATTTTTTTTTTTTGAAATTTTTGAAATTTTTATTTTGAAATTATATTATTATGGCTGCTATACAATATTATAGACTGCATTGGGTTATATCAGGATTAAAGATATAACAGATGTAACCTTTAATCGTGGCGGGGCATACAGCCACAGAAAAACATCAGGCCGACGAACCTCTTTGTACGGCTCCAAAACGAACGGCGGCGTCGCTTGGGTATTACCGCGCTGGCTATCGTCTGAGCGTATGCTGCTCCAATCGCTGCAACCGTCACCGGTTTTTGGATCATTGAAACTTGTCTCGTGGACAGCCAATTTCGGCGAGCCATCTATGAACTTGACCACATTCATCGATCCACCTGTGGACTCTACTGTGCCGAACTGCAGCACAGCCATGTTCGGCATTGAAACCGCTCGACGACGGAGCCTCGAAGACGCGGCATCACGAGTTTCCGGCGGCGGTCGAACCTCTGGCGAAGCAGACGACACTGGACCTTGGTCGAGGGCTGCAGGTGCCATAACTCCTGCGTAATAGCTGAATGTTGGACTCCTGAGACTTTGTTCTGAGATCCTCGAACAACATCAACATCAAGGCGGTCGCTGAAGGCATCTCGACCAGGGGCGCGTCGCCATCTGCCTTGCGTGGACCAGCAGGACCACGACGATACGCCAGTGGTTTCGAACAGTTCGACAGCAGATCCGCGAACACTTGGTGTATTACTTCCGTTTCGGACTGCACATTCATCTCAAGCGATACGAAGCTATTTGCAGACATGGTGATACGACTAATTGTGGTAAAAAAGGTAAATTCCGAAAGTAAAGTAAGTTATACAGACAGTAAATAGTATACCCCCATAGTTGAGCAACTGAACTTAACCTAACCATACGTTCACGTATACAAGTCACCTCATCTGCGTTTCATATTATTGAGTGTGAATGGAAACCAATATAATATGCTCATTTGTTTGTACTTTTGTCAATTCTAAAGATGGCCTGATAACGCGAAAAGACTTCTGAAAACTGATTTGAATTCTTAACGTCTACTTAGGATCAGTTAGGCCAATTTTAAGATATTTTATTCAAATTTAAAATAACAACATTTAAACATTTTATACATTTTAAATATTCAAATGAAGTATAGAGGGGCTTAGGAACAACATTTTTAAAAGTGACTTGAGCGATTTCCAGTAGGCATATTAACGAATTCAAATCAATCTTCAGAAATCTCATAGCATTATCAACTCATCAGTATGATTGACAAAAATTTGGTACATTCTGGTTGAAATAATTGACCGTTTGCAATCTACCAAAAATAAATTTTAAACTGTTCAGTCAATTTTCGGTCACCGGCACTCTTTGTGTATATATTTTTGATTTATTGTTATTCATTGTGTACAATATAGCACATACTATTACTTATAAATTCCCAACAAAGCAATATTAGTAATATTAGTAATATTAGTATTTTCACAATATTTAAAGAACATTTTTCGTAACATATTTAAAATCACGTCATATAATTAAAACATTTTCAAAATTATTTGAAATGACCTCAAAGAAAAAATTAAGACAAGTTCCAAGTATCATGATTTTCTGAATACACATTTCCAAAAATGCATGAATTGCGTCTAGTATGTAACTTACTGAGGTACTAATTTTATTGTGTAACAAGTTTCAACTTGTTATGTTACATCTTGCAAAGCTCACGTATTATTTTTGAAAGTACGGGGAATGAATTTATTGTGAAAAGAATGTACATTAATGTCCCCTATAAATGTGAAATGTGTAAATAAAATCAATTAGTATAATTACGAGTACTATTTAACCTATTTTTGCTAGATCGTGTGACGTGTATGGTAATAAAACCAAGAGACCAAAATAATTTACAGACTATCCTCCAAAAGATCCAAAAGTTTAATATTCAATGAATAATAATTGTTTTTTTAGTACCACGAGTATACCACTGTATAATATAATTTATTTTATGAAAAACATTACATGTTTAATACATTTTTATATTAATATAATAAATAAATAAATATAAATTTTATTATTTTGCAAAAAAAAAAAAAATAATATAACTTCAAATTAATTAAAAAATTAATCGTTTGTAGAAGTTCTTAATCGCTAAGACAATTTTCTAACCAACTTATCACAATAAAAAATATTTTCCATTATTTGAGGAATTGAGGAATTTTATCTCTCTACAAGTTACAACTTTCTTAATATCAATAGATCACGGTACACATTGCCAAATTAGCATCACAATTTAAAACATTTATTTATGTACCTACTCAAGATGATTCATTTTTAGACCCACAGTTTTAAAAAGCTTTAAGATCAGTATAATACGATACAAAATGATTGATGAATACATCAAATACATAAAATAATTTAATAATATAATAACTAATAACCTATTAGTAGGAATATCATAATATACCAATATAATATAATGACAATTTACAAAATGTGTATGAAATAACTATTAATTAGTTACAAAAATATATATGTTTAAGATATTATTTTATCAAATATTTTTAAATCTACTTCTAATATTCTAATATTATAGGTGTATTGACTTATTTTATATAATTTAAGAAACATATATATTATATTCAAAAGAAAATATATGCCAACAAAATGAATTTTTCTAAAATAGAATTAGTACTAAATATTTAGTTTTTATTTGGTTGTATCGTTGGTGAGTTTTTGAAGAGATACCTTCTCGTCATCATCATTGTCTGCCATATACTTTTTCAAATATACATTATTTGGATCAAATTTTTTCACCAACATGTTCCAGTATTCTGGTTTGTACTGTAGTAAATGAGCCAAAACTTTGCCTGCTTGTTTTCTTTGTCTTTCATTACATTTAGCACATTCTGTCTGTATTGCATCCGGAACAATCCCTAGAACCATAATGTAACTTCAAATTAATGAATCATAATAGATAAAAGAAGCAAACATTTTAATAATAATATTTGTAATTTCAGTTTACAATGAAGATGGTTTTTAAATGCAATTAACATTTAATTAGTAAAAAAAATTGTTATTTTAGCACTATGACCAGCTGCCAAAGTTAAGTCTCTATAAAAAAAATCATACTACCTAGATTTACATAATATGCAGAAAAAAAACAAGAATTTAATTAATATTACAATTATAGAATGAGTGCAAATCAGTCGGTTACAATAAAATTAGTAACGTTATGTTAGCCATTATAGCGAATCACTTATTGGGCATTAATATTTTTAAGCACTCAACAAAATGTATTGCATTGTATTTATTTATTTACATAACAAATATAAAAATGAAAAGATTTTCCTCCTGGTGGTTGAAATAAAAAATTATTATTATTATTATTATTATTGGAGAACTATATATGATAGGAATTAGGAATGTACATATTTTATGAAGTTTCTTTTAAGTGAATATTAATAAATTGAAAATTATATTTTTCGACTTTATGTGTTTCAAAATAAGTTATTTCAAACTTCATTTTTGTTATATTGATAATTATTAATTGATTTAGAATGTTTAGCTGTTTTTAGGTGGAGATTATTTAGCAGAGTTTTACGTTTTTAGTTTTTATTTAGCCGTTCCATCGCATGTGATATTAGAAAGGATGAAATGAGACGTTCCATCATCTGGTATTAGAAAATTAACCAAATGATGATAATTTGTACCTACGGAATTAATTTTTGTTAAACTGAAATGTCACGATCATCTCAACTCTGGAGTATATGTAATAATTACTGTTTATTTAATTTATTTATTTTTATTTTATTTGAATCATAATTATTAGATCTTATACAAAATGATCAATGAACGGGCAATTGGATACTGCATAACCTCGAGACCCGTAGGAATAGTAGAACCAATATACAATATAATCGCATAAATAAAGGTATACCTACATCAATTTGACTCTCAAATATAAATGATCTATTTGTTTGATTTAACTAAAACATTTTAAAACAAAGTTTTTTATATTCATCGATACAAATATTTGTGTTTATATTTTACGTTATTGAAACAAATTAAATAGTTAGGTTAGGAGTAACATTAGTTTTAATAGCAAATACGCATTAATTACACTTACACTTCTATGCACAGGTTTGAATCAATTTTAAATTAGGTCACTATTTTTAAATTATTCATTTATTATTTCCATATTTTTACATTTCTTTATGTAAAATATTTCTCAATTTATTACGTTCTAGATTTGTTAGTACCCAATGTAACATTTTTTGAAGTATAAGTTTTGACAAATATATAATTATTCTATGATAATATTTTTCCCGATAAAAAAAAATATATATATATATTATATAATGTTCTATTGAACATTTTTCTGATTTCGGTACCTATAGTTATAGCAGGGAGATTCTTTTATTGGTTAACACTGATTATATCAAAAAAAAAAAAATAATATTTTTGGAAATATTTTTTTATATAGCTTGAGGTCATGACAAAACAACAATTTATTATTACTTTTATTTTATTGATTGGAATGCGTGATTTAGTTCAAGGTGTTTTTAGCGTTGCATACAAAAATTTAGTTAGGCGTTATTAATTATTTTCACATTAATTGTACTACAATATATTTCCTTACATACGACTTATTTGTATTGCTTACCAATAACTATCAATCTTGCCTAAAAATGTCTACAAGAAGTTTCTGATTAATAAAAACATTAATCGTAATGATATTTCGTCATTGCTGTGGACAATATTGAATTAAAAGTCAATTCATATAACACGGGTCAAAAATAGAAGTTATCTAGCCTTGATTAAACTTTCAAAGAATTTGAACAATCCTTCGATAATGCATTCAACATGTTAATCCAGGTCAAGCAAGAAAACACGATTCTTACTTATGAAGTTCAATCTCTCAGAGAAAGCATTGTCTAATAATTAGAGCTCCCACTTAATTGGCACGCTCTGTAAACCAGTTTGTTGACTTTGACATTGACAAAGAGTCTCCAGATATATTATGTATGCCTCAAGGAGAAAAATAATATCATTTTTAACGTTTTGAACACATTTTCCATCTGTACCATTATTGTGGATAAAGGGATACTTCAGAGCTTGGTCTATTTAGTTACAGTGTCAAGTGTTAATCATCTGGGTAATTTTGGTTCTCTTCCGCATCCTATTTTGGTGAAGCTTAACAGACTTGTGTTCATTACTTATTTTTATAGCCAATTCTAGAGTTTTTTTTACTGCTTGTGGAAAATAGAAAATTAGTTTTGTGTTTTTCACTCTTATATTAAAATCAAGTGACAGCTGACACCATTAGTATTATTAATTAGTATTATTAACCTACTTCTAAACAATCTAAACTAAATAAAAAAATTAAAGTCTAAAATTGTTTCAAAAAATTTAAAATTTTCTATTTTATAATGTTTTTGTAATTGAATTTACAAACAGCATTGTTTTCGGTCTACCAAATATACAACAGTGACAAAAACCTTAATTTACCATAGTAATCCGGGACACAAAAAGTGGCCGGTGACCGTCACGAACCTAGCTTCATCTCAGTGGTTGTCATAAACATTGGTGAGTGGGTATATGGAACGCATGGATACTTTAACTGGTTTAGTTTAAGCACCACTGTTTAACGCGTGATATGATGCGCGGGTCGCGAGGGTCACCAGCCAGTTTTTGTGTCGCAGACTATACTCTTTTTTAAAGGACATTACTGCACCCGGAGACCAGGTCAATGCAATCTACAACGATCGTGGAAAAAGCCTGAAATAAAAAAGATAATGACTTACTTATAGCAAAAATTAGATACGATTGGTGTAAGAGATTATTTATTGTCTTTGTTGTTCTCTTATGTTGTTACCTTTAATACTCAATTAGAAAAAAACTAATGGTTTGTTCTTAGCAGTATAAACGTTTTTTTGTTTGCGGAAGATAAAATATTTTTGCATATATTTAGACTGATGATGGGGCTATTGCACTCAATTAGGAGTTAAAAATATATTTTTCGAATGCTGTGTTTTAAATGGTCATAGATGATCACGAATATCTATAAATGTGTGTATATTTAATTTCATTGTTCCAGGATGTCAATTAATTTGCGTTAGAGTATACCCGGAGTTTTCCTCAAAACAGTCATTATTACTGTTTATGGTGACCTTAGAATTATTCTTTCTGCAGATCTAGCTTTTGATGCCCCCATTAAGATAATAATAACTAGCAAAAGATTACGTGTTCTGTTTTTATTAAACGATCTCACATAGAGTTTATAGCACAATACTTAAGAGAATTATATTTTCCCACAATTTTAGTTTTTTAGAACCCGTCATCCAGGTTAGTTGATATTCTTGAAACAAAATAGGAAAGATTCCTACACTTTTGCGCTTTCAAAGCTGAGCCAATTTGCTTGACGAAATTGCTTTCTCTGTAGAGTCTAAGTCTTAAATCATTGAAATCAAGATGTATAGTTTTTACTTTACCTAATTTTTTAATTAAACTGCTTAATAGTTCCATAGAATTACCAAAAATGTTAGGAAAAATGTATTTAAAACTTTAAAGGGCAATTATTTTTAAGAATAATTCAACCTTCATTGTTATATCACAACACTTATGCTATTATAATTTATAACTATGTATATTAATAACTACAGTATTTAAATAATCCGGTTTGTCGATTCTTGTGTTCAAATAATGATATTCAAGATTTTTTCGGTCCTTTGTGTTAAAAAAAAAAAATATATATATTATAATATTTAATTGTAATACGTAATGTATAATGAATAAACGATTTTAACTATTTTAGATTCTGAGTGGAGAGATGAATATATTGATTTTACAATGATAAGTGTTTTTTACTTTTATTTTTGTGTTTTTCATCACATTTTTGGATACTAAAAATGCATCTTTTCTAGTGGGAAAGTGAATCTAGTTAGAAACTCCCATTAGTTTTCCAAAATCGTCAGGAATGAAAGAAAACAAAAAATGAATTAGATTTTATGCAAAATCAGTATTTTAAAAAATTGATTTCGATTTTTAATGTACCTCTAAAAACAATTACAGTAGACTGTAGATGCATGACATTTTGTATTAGAAATTTCTATCCACTATTACATTTTCAAAATATTGCAACTCTTTTTGAGCTATTTAAAGGCATAACAAATTTTGATTTTGATTAGATTTTTTTTTAAATTATTGTTGATTAAAAAATGAGTGGTCAGAAAACTTAGACAATTTTTACAAAGTTTCTTATAAGTTTTTATTAATGGAAATTAAAAAAAGTTAGTTAAGGTGAAATCCACAATAATTTTTGATGGGTGTCTGAAGTTTAAATTTTGACAAAATTCATGAAAATTACGGAAATTGATAAATTTTTTCGAGTTATTAGTAATTCACAAAAAAAATGTTCCATGTATATCCCAGATATGAAATTTTTCTACAAGACATCACTAAAGTTTTCCTACATATTTTAACAAATACATAAAAGATTACCGAAAAGCCAAATTAATTTTTTATAAGAGTTTGAAGTTAGACATTGAATATTCACCAGTAAATTAACAAATTCTCATACAACGATTTTCTTATTTTGTTGTTATACACAAACTAATGACTCTAGGTACTTGAAATTATCATCGAACATTTATAAATATCCTTCTAATTATATTGAAAATTGAATACAATGCTCCTCATACATAGTAACAATAGCAGTTAATAAAAATTCAAAATACATATGAACGTTCTTTTTTTGTAAGCATTTTAATTTCAAAAGTTTACAAAATGTATGATATTGAAAATGTACAGACTATTTTGTGGTCATCAGTTTAAAAAATGTTCAATTTGTATAACCTACAATTGAATATTTAGAACAAGGATCCACATAAGTAGATCGTAATTTAACCAAAAAATCTATAAAATATATAGACAA